GCGTGTTTTAAATAGATTCGATTATAATATCACCTTGTTCAACAACTCAATCTAAAAGATATATATGTGCTCAACATTATATTAGCGCAAACGTTTTGCACACATGTTGCATATCTCCAGTTCCTTCGCAGTGTACTTTTGTCTATAGTACACCGTCAATCGCAAACTGGGCGTAAGCACTTCACTTAGTGTCTCACTCTGTCTTTGCGTTCACCTTGTTCATGAACAGGCATTGGTGATCACCTCACACAGTCCCAAAGTGTTCTGCGCTGGAATTGATTTATCCGAGATGTACAGACCTAACCCTGAAAGGTAAGTTCTGCTAAGATGTGCTGTATCTGCCTTGATTTATGTGTAGATGTATCACATAATTATGCAGAGGGTACGGATCGCGCAAAGCCTCTGGAGTCGAACTAGTATATCTATTGAACGTGTTTATCTGATTGAGAATCTCATGTGTGTACGTATATGTGTTCAGAATTTGGTTTCCTTGCACCTCTATAACGTAAACAGTGTATGTATGGGCGTTTATATACATATCCCCAAATGTATATATATAAATATACGTTAAGTACCAGATACAGTAACATAGTGATGTATGTATATTGCTACGTTAGTAGTGATGCACATCAAATTCGCTATATAATCCGGAGCTTCGAATACGCCCGTGTGGTGGTTGCAATTCTGAATCACCATCAAATCCTCAGATTTATATATTACAAAGGCAAATAAAGACGAAATTTATTTAAATAATACACATATTCTCCTACAACATCCAGGCTCCCCAAGTTCTGGAAGTCACTACAACAGATGTGGTTGACACTGTACGGTACGCGTCTGCCAGTCATTGCGGCCATCACAGGTATGTGCTCGAGATAACATGCCAAATCGTTTCCTGTTTGGTCAGATACTGTTTCTACGCACTTGACGACCAATGGAAGGCTTCGAGATCGGCGTTTCACGCATACATAACGCGGTCTATGCGAATACGTACATGGTCGGGATTTTTATATAGTATGATACCACGTGGTATCTGCTCTAGACCACACATACAATGCTCATCTACTCAGTCCATCTACCCCCATCCGTGGACCATGAGGGATGCAAATTAGGTTCCGAGCCGCATCACTAGATTACCACCATGGCCCAAGTAGAGTTTCTAGTTTCTCACATGTGTGAGGACAATGCCATGCAATTCATTACATAGGCAGTGCTCCAGCGGGTGGCTGTCTCATAGCCATGGGCGCCGACTACCGTATCATGAGTGAAGGCAAAACAACCATTGGTCTGAACGAAGCCGAGATAGGCATAACGCTGCCCGACTTCTTCCTGCAGCCAATGATCTCTCTTGTTGGGCCTCGACAGACTGAGCTCTTGACTACATTGGGTATACTTCTGGATACGAAGGAGGTGAGGGAAAACACAGCGGCAGGGTTTTTGGGTGTTGTTTGTGTGTGTTTATGGTTCGTGTCTTTTATCCACTGGGCTGTGTGCCCAATCTTTGTCCCCAGCCTATGGTAGCTACTTGCAGGCGTGTGACTGGTAGAACCAGTTACGACATTGCGAGCACTTGGGATGATATTGGGTGCGGAATACATGTCAAGCTGAATATATCGTAGCTTGTAGCTGAACAAAGCACTGATTGATATCTGATCCATGGGTGTGCCGCAAGTGAAGCCAGGTGTCATAGATACTATATATGCATTGTCATATAAACATCAGCTCATAGGCGTGTAGACATCAATCGTTTGCACAAGTTTATGTACAAATGTCTAAATTGAAAGTGGTATAAGTCAGTATCTGGGTTCAAACACCTACAAGCAGAAGCATATAGATCTACAGACTGAGGGCAACTCGCAATTTATGCTACTTCCTAGTTGAAGTAGAAGTGTGGCGTAGACCTGCCATGGATTTGAATCATTATGAACACCCACCTGTACGCACAACTATATATTGAACATCTGAACTATACATTCACATACCTCATTGTTAATAGGCCCTCAAGATTGGATTGATTGACGAGGTTGTTGCAAACGATCAAGTACTACCCCGTGCGCTCGAGCAATCTGTGGCATTCGGTGACGTCATCGATAGTGCCAGGGCGGATACCAAACTTCAAATCCGTAAGCCAATACTCGATAGACACCGGAACACTTTGGACGAGGACATACAGAAGTTCCTGAAGGCTGTGAATTCCGAGACAACGCAGCAGATGTTTGACAACTACCTGGCGAAGCTACAGGCACGGAAGAAGAAATGAGTGCGAAATGGTCACACGCGCTCTTTGGCAATAGACATGGTCTACACGGAGATACAAACATGGGAGTGGAGTGTGTGGAATCGCCAGGGGACGGAGCCATTGGAAGAGAACGAAAATTATATTGATAACGGCTTGAACGCTAGTATGCAGTTGATATCTAGAAAGGACGGAACAGATGGACTAGGAATAATAAACCAAGTTAATCGACGAGTTTGTTGGCTCAACACTTCTCAGACAGTTACAATCTCTTCTACTTTAAGAAGTTTAGGGATGGCAACGTATCCACTAGTGAATGGTGCACCGTCCGTACAACAGGCAGTCTTAGAGGTAGCTTATACAGGAAGTGGCAGGGACACAAGGCTCTAGATTGGAATCGCATTAAAGGGTTAATTGGCGATTCACCTTACATCCCAACGGTATTTACTACGAACATACTGCAGTCCGTATCCGTTGATTTCGGTACCTGCCTCGTTGATGACTATTCGCTTTTTTAATTGTATGAAATATATTTAGGTCTAATCGATAAATCGCAGCAGGCTAGTTGCCCCGGTCTTTACACTAGTTTCAACGCCTCTGCCAGTGCCTATAGAATCGAGATTACAAATTTCGCTAGCTTACTGGCTCCTATATATATATATATGTGTGTGTGTGTGTGTGTGTGTGTGTGTGTGTGTGTGTGTGTGTGTGTGTGTGTGTGTGTGTGTNTAG